TAGAAGCCCATATTTACGGACAAGCTTTAGCAGATCGTCCCCCAGACACTCTCGTTAAAAACATAAAAGACCTCTATAGACGTCTTTGGCAGCCAATGAGTTAATAATTTTTTTTACTGACGCGATTCATCTTTAGAGGAAATGGAAGTTAGCACAAAGTGAAGTGGTGGTTAGCAGAGTTAACTGATAATCAGCATGTGGTTAGTGGCAAATTAATCTGTAATTCATCTGTAACGTGTAATAATGGAAATAATGTGTAGTGTCCGAGAGTTTGCTGCATTTTATTGTAAGTATTCTAGTTTATTTTTGTTGGGTTGTTTTTGTTGACATTTTTCATTGAGAAAAAAGGGAGGTATCTCTCAGTAAGTAAGACAACATCAAAGCTCCTTTTCTTATGCTTCATTCAAATGAATACCCTTACTTTCTTAATACTTTATTATATAAGATATATTATGATCATATTCAGCTAATTGTTTGAGCCAGATATAAAGTATCCAATGAGCTATAAGCACCAAGTCAGAAGATTGTTCTAAAAAAAGAGCAGGTTGATCTATAAAACTATGCGTTAATATTGTTTTTGTAAACTTTCAGCTCTTTTGTGTTTGCACAGATATCCTCTTTTGTTTTTAACACGTCATCTATAATTCAAAATGCCATCATACACTCAAACTCTCCAGAGGCACATTTAAATAACTAAAGGGAAACATGCTCACATGGGGTGTAGGTTTATTTTCCCATTAGTTTTTGCTAAGTGTAACCAAAGCACATGGACTGATTCGTTTAATAAAGGTTAAAAACTTTTGGGGTTTATAAAAATATGATTCTCCAACATGATTATTCCATCTTATGGAGGTTTTTAGGCAATGAATGTGATTTTAGTACCATTTAGATTAAATCAGCCTGTTACTTTCAGGTAGATTTATATTGTTTCATGGAAGTGAGTTTAATTTTCTTGTTTGATTCTGAAAATCATATGTATCTTTGAGTCTTATATCCATATTTCTATTCTCAGATCTATATTGTTAAAGACTGTACTTTTAAGTTTTATATTTTCTGTTCTATATTTTTATTTCTACGTTGTATTTCCTTGTTTCTCATAGAAGTGTTGTGCACCAAACACCAAGGCAAATTCCTTGTAAGTAGAAAACCTACTTGGCAATAATTGATCAGGACTTTGCTGACAACTCAAATTAGCTGTCTAATATTCAAACAAATCCAAACTGAAGCTTAGAGTTTTACAAATATTAAGCGATATGCTCCTGTTGTTTACGGTGATATCTTCTGCCAAATACAGAAATGAAAGAGTTCAGTATTTAAGAACAGCATTTTTAGATATTTTTAAGATCCCAAAGAGCAACTCAAAATGAAAACAAAGGCTTTTTCGCACGGGTTCCCACACAAAGTTCAACTTTTTTCGGTCAATAAAATATTCTTACGGATATAATTAGCACGTTACGCAATCTTTGAGTGGAAAGCTCTTCAATAAAGATACTAAAAGCTAAATTTACTGTAAGATACTCTTACAATGAGTCGTTATTTCAAAGATGTGTTAATGAAAAAAATCCTTCATAGTAGTGTGCTGAGGTTAACATTAGGTCAATAATAATTGCAGATAATATTAAATGATGATATTTATGTAAATAATTAAAATTAGATTGTATTGACAGATGAGAAAGGATGGTGGTCTTATGTGTTTCTGAAATGTTTCTGAAAAGTGACACAACCAGCTTTTCTGAAAGCACTAATGAGTATGAAACGACACACAAAAAAAGCATTTTTAAAAGTATTTGTAATGCGTTTGCTAAATAAAGTTTGTTTCCTCTACGCCTCCTAACAAAATGAGCAATTTGCTCCATGAAGAATTCCTGCAGTTTAACAGATCATTCATCCACATTAGTTTAGCATAAAATAAATGCCTTGTAGTATAAAATGTTCTTTATTTTTAGATAATTTCCATTTACCCATCCCCCTCTTAACAGGTATTTTAAGAGTTAATGAACACATTACCTTCAGAGCAG